GGCGCCACCACCCCCAGGGGCCTGGATCCTGACCAGCGCGCTCCGGGTGGGCCTCGCGCGGCACGTGGGCCAGGCCGTCCGCGACCACTCGCTGGCCAGCTCGTCCTCCAAGGCCCGCGTGGTGACCATCGGCATGGCCTCGCTGGGCCACGTCCTGCACAGCCAGCTTCTGGACTTCGCCCAGGTGAGGTCACGGAGAGCAGCGTGGCCCGCACCGGGGGCGGGAAGGGCCCGGGAGCCCTGAGGCCGCCACAGCCCCCCCACACCCACGGGCCCTCACCATTCAGCGGCCTCCTGTGCCTGGCCAGGCCGGGGGAGGGCGCTGGGCAGGAGCAGCAGCCAGAGGGGAAGGTGGGGCGGCGTCGGGGAGGCCCAGTGTTGGGTCGGGGTGGCGGCGTCACCCGGGAGCGGTGGGAGGGCTGCCCGCTGCCTAGGATGGCATCCAGAGGCCCAGGCCCGTCCCTGCCGGTGCAGCCCTGGGCTCCCCGGGCGTGAGGCCAGGCAGCGGTGACCAGCGGCACTGGAGCGCCTCCCGCAGCCGAGTGGCCGCACCTGCCTCGCCTCACCGGGGTCAGAAACGGACCTGGCAGAAGGCTGCCGGCCTCACGTGTGCGCCGCGGCCAGGAGGACAGGCCCGTCCAGTACCCCGCAGACGGCAGCAGCCAGGGCCCCCGCCACCCTCTGGACAGCAGCCACTCCCACTTCATCCTGGTCGAGCCGGGGCCCCGCGGCACCGGGGACGGCGCCACGGAGCTGCGCCTGAGGCTGGAGCAGCACATCTCAGAGCAGAGGGCCAGCTACGGGGGTGAGGCGCCCAGGGGCGGGCCGGGGCGGGCAGCCTGCTCGGGAGCAGCGGGCTGAGCCGGGAACCAGCGGCTGCAGGGTGCCCGTGGGGGGAGGGGGGGCGGCGGAGGGGCCCGCTGGGCTGCGGCCCACCCAGCACGCTGCCACCAGGGGGCAGCGCTGCCCCGCAAGGAGCCGAGCAAACGCGGGTGCAGCAAGCGCCACCTGCGGGCAGCAGCCTTTGCCGGCTCCAAACAGCATAAACCACTCAACAGGGAGCCGCGCGGGCGAGGAGTGGGGGCCCCGGGCTCCAACATTTGGCCAGCTCAGCCTTTTGCCGAGCCTGCCCCCGCGCGGGCACCCTGGGCCCTCGTTTGTGGCACCTTTGGGGGGAAGACGTCGCCCCTCTCTGGCCTCCCTGGGCTCTGGGGCCAGGGCAGGGCAGGGAGGGCGGAGCCTTGGGCTGGGGCCGGGCGGAGAAGGTGCCACAGGGTGCTGGACCAGCCAGAGAGGCCCTCGTGGGCTGCGGACCGGGCCCCTCGCCGCGGGCGGCGATGCCCGCGTGC